ATAAATTCTAGTCATAAAATTTATAATAAGATAATCGCATCTCCTCGTATGATTCAATAAGGCTCTTCGATATGCGCGTATCTCCATTTATATCGCACTTTGCAAAGTAATCGCTAGCGTTTAATTTTACGAGCACTCCAGCAAACTGGTTCCCAGATCCCGTGGCGCAGCGCATTCAAATCGTATTAAAGCAATACTATAAATGTCATAATATTTTCACAAGCCTCGAGGGCGTAAGACTTATCTGCTATACACCTACATTTGTCAACTTTTGTCTTACTATTTATCTCGCTACTATAAAACGAATAAATGGGTTTATGTTAACGGGGAACACGAGAAAAGCTGAACGGACCTGGATGAAATTTAGAACAGAAATAAAATATATTAGAGCACTGCATAGAAGTCGCGGGCGATAGGTAATTTCTTCTTTAGGAAATACTTTAGTAAACTATTTATGTATAGTAAGCTCTGTGTTTTTCGTATTTATAGTGATATCTAATCTTACTTCTTACTAATATAATTGCGTATGTTTAGATGGATGGATGTTTGTTAGACGATATCTTTAGAGCGCCTTAACAGATCTAGATGAAATTTGGCATAGATGTAGAACATAACCTGTAAAAACACATAGGCTACTTATTAGGTTATTTTAGTTTTCTAAGAATTAATATTTTGAGGTAAGTACGATGCTTTCAACGTGTAACTTAATATGGAAGCTCTACCGTAGTACGTATAAACATTATTCAATAAAACAACCACAATTAGTATGCATAACGTAACGTAACTATAATCGATTCAAGATTTGTTATGCGGCCAGTAACAGTGTTAAAACGGCTATTAATAATATTAATCGTTCTTTCGTACCGATGAGTTATTTTTATAGCGCAAAGAGTTATTATTGTACCGTTTCATTAAAGAACAATATTTATAGTGTTTTTTTATTTATTTCTTTTTTTTATTAAAGAAAACAAATCTGAGTTTTTTGACATCTTGTTTCTGAGACAAAAATCTCCGTATCGTCATCCCTGTAATTATCTTTAACAAAATAGAGATAACAATATGTTTTAAATATGGATATTGATATACCCATGATAAGAGCCACTTTATTCTTTATTTACACATTTTGGAAATAAGGTTTAAACAAAATAAATTCGATTCAATTACACTTACAATAATACATAAATAGTTCATCCGAACATAACATTTGTGGATATTCGTATGAATTTAACGTTCAAAGTAGTTTACGGCGAGTTTTACATAAGATAAGACAGAGGTCGCTACGGGCCACCAACGCACCGGTTCTTCCAGAATCCATTAAGGTTTATCCATAACATCCCAACGGTAATATCGAACATTACGATTAATCTATAGATCATTCTAGATGGAAATTAATTCAAGAATGGATGTTTAAAGTCAGTACTACATTAATTTTAAATATTATTAACTGTTGCAGTGTCGTTAGAGTTGTTTAATAGTTCCTTAGTGTTACACTAAAGCTACACTAAGGGATGACCTTAGGGATGAAAATATGGCAAAACAATTAAAACTTATCTTTTTTAATATCCGTCTTTATGGATGTTCTGTTTGGCCGATGGCAACATTCATTTTTACTAACAATTTCAATATGCATAAGATCATTTTTCATATATACGGTGACATTTTAAAGAAATTTGATATCATCATTAACCTGCCCTTATCCCTACAGAGGGTCGGCACAGTATGCACTACTCCTCTATACATCTCTTCCAGAATCCACACCTTCTTACGCATATCCTCTTTCACACAATCCATCCATACTTACTATGTTCTTCCTCTAATTTAAATATCATTCCTATAGAAAATATTATCACATGAAGGCGTGAATAGCAAGTAAAGGTATCCCTGTAATTTAACCATTATGTTGTCTGTCTCTGCCATATATCTTATGTATTACGTTGTTTGTAAAGTTATTGCTGCCGGCGATCGCACTTCAGCACAAGCGGTCATAAGTAATAATATAAAGCTGTTGTAGGTCACTATATATGGACCTATTTTTATTCTTGCGTTATAAATGAGTTAAGTAAAGAAAACATGTAATAACTCACTACAAGTTTGGATCTTCAAATAACAAGTAATAGTATGTTACTAAATATATTTTATGTGATGTTTTCTGACTTAACATGTCAAAAACTAAAGACATCATACGCTTACATAAAATGGTACGATGTATACAGGTAACATCTCGTAGAAAATTAAATCCTTCTATCGCTACCTCGAACTCAAAGCTTTATGTCTATATTCATCGTTATTAATGATCATGAAACGTCTATATATCTTTTACACAACCTACTATGAGTTCAAAGTCAACATAAACTATGTTTATTAAAAAAACAAATAACCATTGAGACATTGTTCTTTTCATACAATCGCCGATCCGCATGCGATAGGGAGCTATTTATACGAGAGCCAACAATGAACTACGATAAGCGAGTCCCTATCGTACCATCAAATGTTTCATGGCTAATGCGACACAAGCCTTGACACCTGGCATTGTTTTAAAAAAAAAAGTGAATAACTCTTGAAGTAATATTTCCTTATTGGAATTATACTTAGGTTATAGTTTTAGACTTTTTACTTCATTTAAAGAAATAATAATTATTTTGGACATAAAAGAGTTTAGAGACCATATAAACATAAAGACATACTAATTTAATTTGTTTTAAATAGTTGTAAAAAAATATGTAATACTGTTTTTAAAATACTCACAACAAACAAGACTAGACGAACAAACTTTCCTGTAACTATATGTAAGCCACGCAGTAGGGTTGTCGCTTATTCGAATTTTCATTGTTTAAAAACTTCAGGTTTAACTTTGTCTTTGGATGAGAGTGACTTATGAAACAAGTCACTGAATATCGGCTCAAAGGGTATGTATTGTAATTGATTGTCGTTTCTTTTTCGTGACCAATGTTCGGATCTACGTTGGCAGCCCTATTCCGTAGTGATTACATTCAGCCCCCGTCCTAGCCGATCGTGAGCGATGGCCAATAAACTCAACGCGCCCACTTGAATTTTAAACTACACTTTTTTCATATTAACGCTATCTATGTGGGTGATCGGACGCGCTGTCGAATGTTTGAGTGACTTCATTCGCTGTTCTACTTTTGGTAATATTTCACCGATTTTAAAACTTAATTTTAAATGCAATAGAGTTCATTTGAATTATGATAGTCATCATCACCACCAGCTCACTATACGTCCCATCCGAGAGGCTCGGAGCCTACCCCAAGTTAGGGGCGAGTAGGCCATAGTCAACCACGCTGGCCAAGTGCGGGTTAGTTGACTTTACATATATGTTTAAATTTCTTCTTAGATATGTGCAGGTTGCATCACGATGTTTTCCTTCACCGTAAGAACGTCGGATAAATGTACATATGTAAATCGGAAATCGAAAAACACATTGGTACCTAGCGGGATTCGAACCAAGGACCTGCAGATTGCAAGTCAAGTGCTCGACCCCTGAGCCACCGACGCTCCTATCTTGTACATATTTGTATGGGAGTTGAAACGTCTTGTTCATCTACTAAATAATAATTGTTATAAAATTATAAAGAGAAATTACCTAACACTCTGTCGTTAGTTGTAAGTACCTTATAAATCTCGAGGCCACACATATTTTTAGTCTAAATTATGCCTTTAAGACGTAATATAAGCCTTTAGGACATGTTTAATATTCTGCTCATATATTACTTACGCCCAAATTAAGTTCTCGATTAGAGGTAATTTGATTGTGAATTTTCGCAAACGGTTTGAGTCCTAACCAGCAATATTATAATACTAGCTGTTGCCCGCAGCTCCGTCCATGCGGAATAAATAAATAATTAGTAGCCTATGTGTACTTCCAGACTATGTTTTATAAATATATATACATTTAAAATAAATAGCTAAATTTTATAGAGATCCGTTTTGCAGTTCTGGAGATACCTTCAAACAAACATCCATCCATCCATGCAAACATTGTCATTTATAATATTAGTAACATGTTTTATGTTTCGAATAATGGATGTATTTGACCAAATTATGGTTAAAAAAATTGTGTTTTTATTTACAATGGAAATAAGGTTAACCAAAGTACGGATATTATATCGTAAAATTATTTCAAGTAAATCGTCCTTACTGTACTTTCTTTGAAATTATTACAAATATGAATTTATCTGAAATTGTCAAGTTAAATAAACCTAGATTCTTGGTGACAATAAAATTAAGCATTAATGAGACAAGAAACGGCAGCCGTCGGCATAAAGATGTTATTCCAATTCTATTTAATGGCTTTTAAAATAACGATTATTGCGATTGGCGATTGTGAAAAGTTATTTCTGCAAATAGGATGTTTTTAAATGTATTATTGTACTAGCTGTGTCCCGCGACTCCGTCCGCGCGGAGTAAAAGAAACGTAATAAGTAGTCTATGTGTTCTTCTTTCCTCCAGACTTCATTGAGCTGTTCCGGACATACCGTCTACCAAACATACATACGAGTACGTCCATCCGGACGATTCCGCGCGGACGGAGTTGCGGGCGACAGCTATTACCTTAATAAAAATAGGTTTTTTGAATTTTTTAATTCGATTTATGTTTTATATCAGAGGCTATAATGATATGTTTTCTCTCCTCATTCTTAATTGTCTTAACCTTTCAGCGAACAAGTTTCCTCCCAGTCTTATAATCACTAAATTACTGAGTTCCTTTAGTATGCAAAACGCGAAAAATAAATATTTTACCATTTTATAAAAGCAACAGGTCGTTAGGGCAGCCAATTTTGCACGGAGGCCTTGTATAATGTACAATTATCGACTATAGCTAGGGTGACCATTCATTTTTACATTTTCATAAATTGGCTTATTTGGTATTCAACAAAATTTCCTTACCTACGAACATTAATAAGCCACATTTATGATAAATTTATTCATGTAATATTTTTATTATTTAAAGTGTATTGTAATTATGTTATCATGTACTTCTTAAAAAGCCTGTGCTTGTGATGAAAAAAAATCTACTTTTATTTCATTGTATTTGTCTCGTATTGACGCTTAAAATCCTTGTCACCCTAGCTGCAATAACTTGTTTTCGCCAGGCAGGGAACGCCACCGCTTGATTGGATGATTGACGTGCTGAAACAAAAAAGCATACCAAGTTATCGCAGCTTAATAACATAGTTGCGCGAAAAGCAAACAAACTAAGTAATAATATGCGAGCTTACGGCTAGAGTTCAGATTATCGTTAACTTGGTTATTGCGTCTCTACGACTATGTTTAAAATAATATGCTAGAAGGGTTTTCTATTTCGATGGAGGATACGTTAGCCTGGTTAATTTTAATACGACGTTTTCTTGTATTTTTTTAAGAGAAAAAATATTTTCAAAGCATCCACCTCATCCAGTACTCTCCCGTAATTACTATATCATTGCTACAAACTAATGAATGTATTAAAAATTAAACCACTTGAGTAAACCAATTTAAAAATTCCACCGAAAATGGTTTAATAATTGGAGAGGACAAGTCATTCGCTTAATTTTCAGTGAGAAAATATTAATTGACTCACAATTTATTGCTCAGAACCGGTCTGGAGCAAATTATTATGGATAATTGTTTCGCTTCGGGCGATCCATCTCACGGTTCTGCACGAAGCCGAAGTACTGCGTTATTTGCGTTTATCTAACGCATTTGCATAATGGACTTGAAGACGAGGTGTGAAGCGATGTGTGTTCTAACGTCGGATATTTACTGAAGAAATGTCTCCACAAAATGTTGCTTTAATCTGAATTTATGTTTCTTGATATCGAGCTAAAAGCTAGAGAAAAAACAACAAACAAAACAAAATCAAGTCTAGAAAATGTTTACAGAACTATAACAAGAAGAAAGTAAAAAATAAAATGTAAATTATGGATGCTTTTAAAGCTTGCTAATATCAGTAATGTTAAAATTGCGAATATTTAGGTAGATATATGTTTGTTAGAACAGCTCAATAGATCTCGCTGAAATTTGTTATAGAACCTATTCTGGAAGAACACATAGACTACTAAATAATCTATACTACGTGTCAACCTACCCGCACTGGGCCAGCCTGGTTGACTATTGCGTAGTCACCCTTAACTTAGAGTAGGCGCAGTCTCTCAATGGGGAATTATAATGAGCTGACGGTACTAGTACTATGCATTACTGTATTATTAAAATTTCTTGTTTCTTCCAGGTGTGCAACCCTGATATCGACTGTACACTGCCAGAGAACAAATGGAGATATATAGAAACCTTCACGTGTCAAGAACGGGATCCGAAGCTGCTGAAAGAAATGCGACTCTCCTTTCCTAGTGGGCACTCTTCCTTCTCTGCTTATACAATGATTTACTTTGCGGTAAGTAACCTAGTAACTTAATATTCACGAAATGAGAATTATAGAATCATTTTTTTTATCGGAAACGTACAGGAAAGTTGACAAAATAACTACTAACCAAAACTAACCTGAACTTTTGTTTCTATCTCAAATAAGTTTTAATTCCTTGCACTTCTGTTTAATGGTCACTAAATTCACTTAGTGTATTCCTAAATCTACACTAAGGAACAGCATAACTAGTATTCAAACTGGACTGTTTACTTCTCCAGTGAAAGGCATATTGGTTTCTAAATGAACCATGGAATTATTATTGTATCTTGTCTTCGTCTTGATTTATTATTAGTGCACTGCCTATCTCTGGTTATCTAGATTATGATAAAAGCGACCGGAGGCTGTAAGTTATGCAGCCATGCATATGCAGATTGGACATCCATTATGGTAATATCCACTCGATGTTTTGTGTTGACAGCGCCGACGATGGAGTATCATTAAACTTATCAAGTATCGATTATTCATACGATGTTTTATGTGATATTTATAATCGAAGACTAATAAAATTTACTACAAATTTAAATAGTTTTAATCGAATTAAACCAAAATTACTATTAAATGCAAGCATTTGTGCATTGGTGTTCGTTTGTATGAAGAGTAGTTTCTGGTATCTTGGTACTTTTAGTAATGTAGCCTATAGATCCGCACCATGAAACTTCATACTACCAGGAAATCAAAACATCGTTGGATCAATTCTAACCACATTTTAATACATCTTACGGTCTTTACAGATATACCTACAGAAGCGTTTCACATGGCGCGGCTCTAAGCTGCTACGACACAGCGTGCAGTTCCTCCTGCTTATGATGGCCTGGTACACTGTGATGACGCGCGTCTCTGACTACAAGCACCACTGGAGCGATGTACTCGCCGGGTTTAGTATTGGACTCATCTACGCCGTTGTTATTGTAAGTATACTGTGTCGAGACGAACCGTGGATTTCTTACAGTTTATGATAGCCTGGTACATGGTACTGGTACATGTATGGTTTGTCTGTGGCTGCCAGCTTGAGTTAGTGTTTTTTTTAAAGCAAGCTATGCTCGCCTGGTACACCGACTTTTAAGAAAACTTACAAAAAAACTACTAAACTACTTTGTATGAAATGTAAATAAGAAATGCTTACCTTGTTTGTTATCTCTCGTGAAGACTCGTTATAATTTATATAAACAATCAGATTATCGATAAACAACGGAACAACCATATTGGGTCGGTAGCCACGCATAAATTATAGGTGTAACTGAATTTCTGCAATTTGCTTGATAACCCATGTCGGCCATATTTGGTATGAGAAAGCAACAACTCGGCCAATGGCATTAAATTGATTATAGGTTCATATCACGTTCGGGTTGTGAATCGAAATTTGTTTATGGAATTTTGTCAATTTTAATTTTAAATAATTAATTAGTATGTTTTATCACGATTCAATAAAGTATTTTTTTTATTTTCTAAACCTACAAAAGGGCTTGATATTGGATTTCCTTCAAAATCTTAACGCCCTTACCGTGGGTTTCTGAGACCACAATCCTCGTTTTAAACATATTGTTATCTCTGTTTTGTCATAGGTAATGACAGGGATGACGATATGTTTTAAACAGATATTCCGGTCTCAAAAACCATGGGTTACTATACTAAACTTAATTATTAATCCATAACGACATAGTATTCAAGCTAAATTAAACTCTACAGAACACATAATAAAGTTCAATCTCTTTCACAGTACGCATTCGTATCCGATCTACGTAAGACATCTAGACGTCAAACGAACGTGCATAGCAATGAATTGCACGGAAACGGTAACACGCGTGCAGCCGGCTGGCCCGTCTGACTGCCGGCTGAGGAGCAGCCAGCGGAGGATGAGCCCTGACAACCGCCCAACGTCTCGTGGATATCACACGAGTACGTAGAAATACAAGACAGATAAGTTGGACTATAAATAATATGTGTGTGCGAAAGTGTGTACGGCTCTGGATAATTTGGTCATCCTTTATCTTCTAGGAATTACCGTAAAATCGTTTAATAGTGACTTAAGCAGACCCTTAGTGTAGATTTCTTGTACAAAAGTAAAATTGAGTGACTCACTAGGGGACAAATAAGCTACAAATTAGAGCTGGCTTAATGTAAACACTAACTGGCGCCAGTGAGTCCCATACTGTCAATGTAAGGTCAGCGATACTGGCCTACTGGCATAATGTAAACACGTCATTAATGAGTCTATTCCATGTATAAAATCCATCTAGAAAAAACATAAAAATGTGGAAACAATCTTTTAAAATATTAGAGGTATCTAGGCATAATAATTGATTCGACACGATCGAAATATTTCTTAGCTTTTACAGGGAAGTTTAGCAGCTTTTTATTGTTTCCACTGCACCAAAAACATATTTTATCTCTGTTTTTATAAATTGAATACCATGGATTTCAGACATCAAAATCTATGTGTATTGTCATCCCTGTCTTTCATTATTGATAAAACAGAGATAACAATATGTTTTAAACGGCAACATGTTTTTGAACAGATGTTTCGTTAGTATAAACGCAACATTTGATCACGGCAGCTATATATCACCAATTATATATGTATGAATGAATGGTTGTGAAATATATAAATGTCAAAGAATATATTTGATTTTTAGAATATGCACTTTATAGCAAGGAGTATAAAATGTTTAAATTTTATTTTAAAACTTACGAACGAAAAAATATTCTATGACAATTATTAGCAAATAATATAAATAAAAAAACTGTAAATGTAAAAAAAAACATCACTTCCATTAGATTTTAGTATCACTGCCATCTAGCGGTAGAAATACGATCACATAAAACTTAAATTGTACAAAACTACTTATTCATTAAATAGGTTTTCATATATATTGTAAATAATTATTTCTCACAGAAAAACGTGCAATGTATAATTATTATTTATTTGTATTTATTTTATTGTAAAATGTAAGAAAAATAGACGTATATCCGTAAATTTATGTATATGTTTCTGCAATGGAAACATATTTTTACAATGTTCATTATTAAATACACCGTCAATGCATAAAAGGTATATTAATAATAATAGTTTGCACCTTTACATTTAATTCTTTTAAACAAATAATTTTAACAAATTTTTAATGGATTTTACTACTTGAAATATTACTCTTTAGCAATCCTTTTAGAAATAAATATAAAAATATGCTTTGTAAAGGTTCGTCTAGAAATCGTACGAACTCGGCCGTTGCGTTAGAGCGAGACAAACGTATGGGGATACATGAGAGCGCTATGCTGCACTGACGTCATCGCCGGATAATCCGAATCGCACGTGCGTTTTCGGCTTTTGTCTAAATGAAGCTTAACCTTACTTCTCTACTTAAAGGGATATATCCTCGCATTTTATGTTAGTATATCTCGTCAAATAGACCTTATAGCTAGTTCTATATTAAATAGTTAAACACTATTTCCACGTACTATTAAGAAGAAAATCCGAAAATGTGGACCCAACACTAGCCTTACTAAAATTTTTCGATGTCGACGTTTATGTCCCCTCACTATTCATTCTGGCACTAGACTTTGTAGGGAAAGCACGTCATTGGCGCCAATTGATTCTAACTAATCTTATATATATAAAATTCTCGTGACATAATTTTTGAAATTTTGTGAGCATATTGAGTAGGTCTGCGAATCGGCCAACATCTATTGTTAATACCGCGCGGACGGAGTCGCGGGCGACAGCTAGTACTGTCTAAAAGTACTATCATCTTACAAACTCGAACCATGAGCGAGCTTTCAAGGGCCAGGACATTATTCTCGCTTATAGAGGTTTATCTTATAACCGAATTTCTCGCTTATACAGGTAATCCGACGGGACTGAACGACTCACATTATAGAGGTTTCTCGCTTATCGACGTTACCAAACTGGCATCACTTTTATCTTTTACCGAATTTAACGTAGCACTCCACTGTCGTGATAATTGCATCGGCACAATTTGTTTTCTGTTTTTTTTTTTCAAAGAAATTAGGCTTGACAACATGTGTCAAAGCTTAAAACCTACAATCTTATTCTGTACAATAGTAGTCTTATTAGTATGCACTTTAATATGTTATTAAAAAAAATATCATTTTAAATGTAACACACTACTGTCAAATTGTCAAATCCGTTGATGACAACTTGACAAGATATTTTTTTCCCGTCACTTTTAGTCTTGAAGACTGAATGGCGGTGTATTTTAATTCTGTGATATAAAGTTGTTTTAAAAAAATAAATTTCGCCTAGTGTAAGTTTTTAATATCGTATTAGGTGCAAGCATTTCATGTAGGTGCTGTTATGAACTATTTGATGTAAAAAATATAATATTTATCAATATTTTTGCTTAAATATTTGACAAATGTATTTGAAATAAAACTTAGATTTTGTAGTATTTAGCTAAAAGGTTTAAAATAAACGCTTTCCATTTTGATATATGGCAATCTTCGAATATTTGTTAATTTATTTAATGATTGTTATTACTAATCGAAGATGGCAATGATTAGTTCAAAATTAAAAGCAATTAAATAAAAATTGGCTTTTGAAAAAAGAAAAAAATTAACATTTAAATGATTAATCTCAATGTCAATATAGATTAACTGAGGATATTACGATTGTATTCGTATATTAATCTATTTAAATTAAAAAAAAAAATGAATGTTTTATTGCAAAAGACATCATTACGAATTTTACATTTTTTATAACGAGCAAAAATTTTAATATGCTTACTTTTTATTTTAAATATCTCGAAATTCTTCATTATTTTTAATAAACATAATAACATTTTGTAGAGATTTTAAAGACAAATATAAGCTGTTATAAAAGGATATGAATAACAAATATATTATAATTAATATAGTAGTATTAATTGCACTTATTTGGTTTTTTTGCACATTAATAAAATATTTTAAATATATGTAGTTACATTTCCAGACATATAACATTTATATAAATATTTATTTAATAGTTCTGTTGAATATTCAATTGTTAAACTAAACTGTGGCGTGTTATTCAGTTTAGTTAACTGTGGCGCTAGTGTCGCGTAATGAAAATAATATGAACTAAAATTCGAGTTTAACGATTTAATAATTTGAATTAACATAGATTTTACATTGTCAAATTATTATTTATGTAAATATACAAAATAATTTATGTAGATAGCACTATTAGTTATTAAGAAAATATATTTAGTTTTATAGTCTTGAAGTAAAAGGAGAACAGAAGGCCTTCGTAACATGCACTGCCTGTATATTGATTTTGGCAGTTTATTTATTTTTAATATTTTATGTCATAGAAAATTTTAAATGCATAATAAATATTTGTTCAAACTTATTTGTTTTTTATTTATCTCTTCATTGATTATAGCATATGATTTTTATTTGGTTTTATAAAACAAAATCAGCTTTCACTGAATCCGGTCTACAGCGCCATCTCTTGCTAAGTTTCAATTTTAAATTTTCAAAAGTTCCAGATGTTTCTTACCTGTGACAATAGATGGCGGTTCAATAAAATTTTGTCCTTGCAAAAGTAGTAGGACACGTTGCGTAAATATGCAATATTTACATTTGCAATGACTCAAGCGTTCAACGCCCCTGTCTCAATTTTTGTCACCGTCGCTTTTGTTATCGAGTTACGAACTCAAAATATGTAACTTAAAAAGCGCGCTAAGAAGTGAATTAGATTCATTGAAATTGGCGGCAATCTCTGCACATTTGCTCATTATGACGGCACGCAGGTGTGACTAACGACTAACCACAGATTATTCAGTTTATCAGAACACTTTATCATTTATTTTTCGTCGTTTTGTGAGACTGTCGCGTATTATTTAAAATATTTAACTTTTATATCCTGCACAATGATTATTTGGTTTTGTTTAGTTCCTATATAAATGTAGGTTATAATTTTACTTCAATTTTAAATATATAAAAAGTGATTAGTGTTTTTATAATTATGGCTGTTGATAGACTGATATGGAAGATAGCATTGGATTTCTTTGTCCTTCTCTGCGGTAAGTTTCTATTTTTTTTATAATCGTATAAATAAACAATTTATTAATAACCAGTTGTATTACGTGTGGTAAACACGTCCTTGTATCCAAATTCGGATCATGTTTTTGTTAAAACATGTTCTCTATGTTTAAGATTTATTCATCAATCATTTAATAAGCAAAGGATATTAATGTTACAATACTATCTGATCTTATAAAGAAAGGTAGTTTAAGAAAAATTAGGAACTAGAAAAAAGTTGTTTGCTTGCACTACCAAAAACAATTAAACAAAAAACATGCCATCCCCAGCACTGCCTAATCTACATCCTTCCTTTATTAGTAAAGAGTGGAAAGAGGAAGAAAACTGGAACTAGCATCAAATATCTTCTAAGGGAGAAATACTAGAATTAGGTCACTCTAACATTAATATAATTATTATGATACCACAATGATTATGAGTAGCAATAATTAATGACAATCACTAATAGCACTAAATATTGCTTATAATTTTATTTGACTGCAAAATATTTAACTGCGCAAAATCTCGTTACCTAACATAACCTTGCTTATCAATTTAAAATCGGTTACCGTAAAATTACCTTCAGTTGAATATTTTTTTGTTCAGGAAATAAATAGCACTGGATTTTAAATAACCAGGTTTTTCTAGTTTACTACCTGTTGCCCGCGTCTCCGTCCACGCAGGGATTAAAAAGTGATAGTACTTACTTAATATGCATATAAAATATTATAAAAATCGGTCAAGCCGTTTCGGAGTAGCATGCTAACATTGTAACACGAGAATTTTGTATATAAGATTTTTTATTTTTTAAGTTGTAAGGCTTTTAAGTCTGCAGCTTATGACGTCACTAAAACAGCCTACGCTAATGATGTCAAATACATAAAATTAAAGGTTGCCAGTTGACACCGATTATGAGAGAAGTGGCATTAATCTTAGTATAATATTTAATCTGATTACAGTTTGAATAGGTACGTCGTTCTTGTACTAGATAAGAAAAGTATTTCACTGTAACACATGTAGAATGATAAAATATATCTGTACGGTATTAGTAATGTTATTTCAGCACTTACCGTGGGCTTCTGAGACCAAATTCTCTGTTTGACATGTTTCAAAAAGATTATTTATTATATCCTAACGGGGACTTTTAGTGTAGATGTCTTGTATAAATATACGACAATAAAAAATAAATTATTAGCTAAAAACATTTCGTTTATAATTTTTTTTTAATACAAACGTTCGATACGCAACCTAGATTTTAGAACCAATTATGTAACAAAAGTCCTTGATATTTCGCGTATTTCTATAACGTGAGATCGTCATCGGCAACAACAAAGAGATAAAAATTTATTTTAAAAATACATACATAAATATAATAAAAAAATTGTGTTTAATTTCTGCAAAAAAATTTTAAACTCCTTTTATGATATTTCTTTATTGTTAAAATAAAAACCAAAGATCATGCAATTTTAGTACCTAATCTATTTCAATGTCATTATATCTCATTTAACAAAGTATAGTTCTTTTCAAATATCAAAGAAATCAATACTTCGTCCTTATCTCCCGTAGAATGAATGAACATGTATCACTTATAATATTCAGGCTAACCAATTGATTATTATCATTCAATTCATTCGATTGAGGTTATCATTCAATGAAGAGGAAATCCTAATTGAAATTATATAAAGGAAATTATCATCCTCTATACAAAATGTAGCAACGTTTGAACTAAACCGATTCTAAAATGCGGACCAATAAACATCTAACTGTAGATTTCTGAGACCAAAGTCTTTGAATATAACATATCGTCCTCATTGTTATCTTTAACAAAAAAGAGATAATATATTTTAAAAGGGGATTATGGTCTCTGAAAGCCACAGTAACAGTCCTTCAAACTCTTGATAAAGCCTCAAGAAGACCCTAATAATGCAGTGATTCCGAAAGTGGGCCAAACGTCCTGGAGTCTACAGAAGACCTGACGAGCATTAGGGCTTCACCGTAACAGTGAGATTTTGAAGACGGTCAACAAGAAAAATGTTTAGGAATCTCTGATATACTCCAACCATGATGATATTGCATGGATTACCAATGTAGTGATTGAACGTCTGCACATGGTACCATCTCCCTGTTCTTATCTCTTATTTCTTACACAATATTTAAAACATTAATAAAAATTGAATAACCACTGAAGAGACGAACCATCAATACCCAGGATCAATGCATAATTACATATGTACATTTATCCGACGTTCTTACGGTGAAGAAAAACATCGTGATGCAACCTGCACATAACTGACAAGGAATTCAAAGATATGTGTGAAGTCAACCAACCCGCACTGGGCCAGCGTGATTGACTATGGCCTAATCACTATTAACTTAGGGTAGGCTCCGAGCCCCTCGGTGGGGACGTATAGTGAGCTGATGATGACCCTATTACAGTTACTCTAAATTATCATAAAAACATTCATCATAAATCTAATACGATTAAGTTGATATCACAAAACGATACTTTGTAATAGTACAGATTATTATGTTATTTTATCGATAGATATGATTGTCGGAAATAATGAATCATTAGGAAATCGAATTTAGCATTACTCAAATGATATAGAAGAACTCTTGGCTATAATTTAAATTTATAATCTTTGATCCTTACAGAGTCAGTTAATATACTGACTTCGATTAGCAATTATTATTAACTAGTGATGATCGGTGGTGGACCGGTGTGGTCGGTGGTCGACAGCGTCCGCAGGGAATTAAAAAAAAACATTATTTAGTAGCCTATATGTTCTTTCAGACTATGTCCTATATGTATGCCAAATTTCATCGCGGTCCGCTCAACCGTTTTGGCGATACCTGAAAACAAACATCCATCCCTCCATCCATCCATCTTAACATTCGCATTTATAACATTAGTAAGATGGAAGCATACTAAGCACATTCTCTACTGTAATAATTTGCTAAGATGCTTCCGGTATCCTTACATCTGAGTTTCCATTGTCGATAAACATAGTACCATCCTTTGCATTCTTAAAAAAAGCAAAGATAAGTTCAATCCTATACATTTTGGATTTACCCGAAACAAACGCGGCCTTGGACACACACACAGACAGACAAACAAACTGACAAAATTTGGCATTGGTTTTTAGTTATCAGCAACCCTACATTATAACCACACTCCAATTTCAATAATATTTATAGTTTTAACTACGTTTGTTAACATTTTGTTTATGTTGACTTGACATGTTTAAACACATAATTTTATTTAGTTAATAAACAAGATGCTAGCTCTAGATAAGTTTCATTGACCCCGATGTTAAAACATGTTTGATAACGATAACTTGTATAAATACTTCCCTGTGCCGATTACATTGTCAACCTAACGAAGGATTCTAGCATCTATAGTCAAGGCTACATTTAAATAAGCATTTAAGTCTTCAACTTATGATAACTTACAGTCAACTTAAGTTTATTTACTAAAATGCGAACTACCCAGATCAACAGAATGTGCAGGGTTTTTACAAAACTATAAATTAACGTACCCAAAGTAAAATAAAATTATATAGACTTTAAATGGAAATACATTATACACAAATAGATATAAAATAAAATATTCATTATAAATAAAATATTCATTATAAATTGGAGATAGTTAATACCAACAGAGGTCGAAAAGTTTTCTCAATGTAGTCGCCAATAAAAATAACAAGGGTGACGAAGCGACCCGAAGCGGGCCATGACCAATGTAGTCACCAACAAATCATGAATTCCGCAAGTCTGGAACCTGCCCATTCACAATTAGTCGAAGACAACACATCACGTATTCAAATCTTTTGTTTACAGTGGCGTTTCCCCTGCTCGGTTTGCTGCTGTGGGCGGAACCTTACCACCGCGGCTACTTCGCCGACGACTACTCGTTGCGGCTTCCCTACAAACAGCAGCAGATCTCTGAGGGCTTGCTGGCGGGTCTCGGCTTCGCGTTCATTATTGTAACGGTAAGGAAATGAACTTTTAAAAACAAGATGATGTTTATGATGTATATGAATTGACTGGTTTCGCCATATTGTTTCACAAGTGTTAAGACGAGGAAAATATTTTTTACAATGCAATATGTGTTTTGGATTTAAATGGGATTTGTTTTAAGTGTGTTAAATTTACTTAAACTATCTAATTGTTAAGTCATATTGCTCGCATTGTCCACTAAATAAACAGGGGCCATCCAAGTAATCTGTTTGTGGCGTTAGCTTATAGAAACACAATTTTATCCTTTTGTTAACCAGGTTGTAATCACGGAGTTTGTGCGCGATAAGCGTGGGAACAGTGTGGGCGAGAAGTTTGTAAGTGGGTGGTTGGTGCCGGGGTGGGCGTGGGAGAGTTACGTGACGGTTGGGGTGTACACGTTTGGAGCCGCCTGCCAGCAGCTCACCGTTAACGCCGCTAAATACGTCATCGGCAGACTGAGGCCACATTTCTTTGATGTAAGTTCTCTTAAGATTAAGTTCCACTGGTTAAATATATATTTCATGTAATCTTTCGCTTGATTCTAATTGTTTGATTTTTTTATTGACTGCATTCTATAATCCATCGTACAAGTAACGCATATACGGTTGAGACAAGTGACGACAGCAACTTATCATTACACTAATTTTTGCTTACCTCATTGGTGTATAATAAAATTCCGTTTTCCAGTTATGTAGGCCGATCCCTAACTCATCGTCCCCACTGAACGAGCTAGGGTACATCCAGGCGTACACGTGCTCGGGAGCCAGCGCAGCGCAGCTCAAGGAGATGCGCCTAAGCTTTCCCAGTGCACACGCCAGCTTCGCCATGTACACTGCTGTCTTCTTTATTGTACGTTACTTATCAATCCTTTTATATTTTTACTTTTAATCCTATTAACCGATCTATCCATTAATCTTCCTATCCATTAGAGTTAATTTTTATTAATTTATGTCCTGGATCGGTATCAGGGGACTGTTAGCTAGATGGTAAACGCTGCATAAGACGATTGTATTCAGCACTTGACGTCACAAAGGCATTGTATCGAAAAATATATTTTAGAACACGCTGTAGTTTGTATTGCCTTTTTGTTTCTACAGCGTGTTCTGAAATATATTTTTAGAAACAAAGGTTGCATGCCTTAGTAAAATGTTATTGTACACGCATAGTAAAGTTTTCGTGCAGTTCTACATCCAGGTGAAGGGCAAATGGCGCGGCTCGAAGTTGTTACGTCACGGCTGTCAGTTTGCGGCGCTGATCGCAGCGTGGTACGTGGGCCTGTCGCGAGTGGTCGACCACATGCACCACTGGAGTGATGTCACTGTCGGATTCATTGTGGGATTCGCTTTTGGTGCTATTATAGTAAGTGATACTGGCCTATTTTTTGAACCTATTTGAGTCTAATTCCAGACAAGAAAATATTCTGTTATATACTAAAACTGAGCTTTTATATAACTGCAGATAAAACAATGATAAAATATGCAACAATAAATTCACAATAATTAATTTATTTAAATTATAAAGCGCCTAGTGATTTTTTAAACCACAAAACGCTTCATACACAGATAATTTTATGACAGGCGCTAAGGCGAAATGCAACTTTTACCTTCATTTCCAACACAAAAAAATGCCTTCTAAATTGTTAAACAAATGATTGTTTTTATTTCCAGTTCGTGTATGTCTTGAAACCGAAGAAATATGGTATGCCACGGTCTTGGGAGACGGGGCCTCCTGAAATGCTTCCACAGCCCGTAATGTCCCGATGACTACACGCTGAAGTTGTTATTCTATCGTAGTATAATGAAACACTCTTAGCCCAAATGTGTAGGCAGTGTTCTTATTTAAACAGCCATATTTGTATATTGACCTGAATTAAGAAATAAAACGATGTATTTTTATGAATTTTTATATATTAGACACTACAAAAAGGTGAATTTAAAATGCATTTTTTTATTTTATTCTAAAGACTAGGCTAACATTATTTAATATATTATGACTGTCGCAAAATGATTTTAATACATAAGACAAAATACGAGACTCAAGAATTATTTTATGACTAAAGGAAGTGTTTAAGGACTAAAGAAGTCACTAAGAAACTGCTTAACTGTGCTTAGTGTGAGCGTATGAATATTCTTTAAGTTTTTAAAGTAATATGTTTCAAGATTAAATAAAAACCATTCCAGCCATTAAATGCAAGACTCGCGTTTGGTTTTTAAACTAAAACCTCAAACTTCTATCAACTTCTGACCTAAGACGATATGAGACCTGTAACATATTGCCGTCCCTCACATCGTCTTAAAAAAAATAGAGCCAAAAATATATGTCAAATGCAAAGACAATTGAAACTCATAGTTATACGACATACTGCTATGATAACAAAAATTGTAATCATAAAACAAGATCCTTACAAATTCCTCCATATCTGACAACCATATTTAGTACTTAGAAAGTTTAGAGCTCGTCAGAAACCTAACTTGGTGTCAAAACAAGCACCTACAAGATTCTTTCCGTGGATTTCAAAAACCAAAATCCCTGTTTAAAAAATATTGTCATCTCTGTTTTGTCAAACATAATGACAGGGATGAGATTTTACACAGATATTTTAATCTCAGAAACCCACGGTTTGTTTCGTAATTAATAAATGTGTCAGTATTAAACGTGGTAACTACAATTGCCAAAGTTGTTATTTTGGAACAATGCTTTTGTTTTGACTAACATTTTAAATGTGAGAAAATATTTGTTTCTTCGTCGTAATAAACTCAAAGTACAGACGATTACAAGAGTTATTCATAGAAAGCTCTTTTGTGAGGAAATAAGCTAGGATTGGATTTTAAATTGCCTTAATATAATACCAGGCGTTCATGTTTTGGTTGGTACTTGAATAAAGTTCTAGATCATTAAATTATTTTATGAGTATTTAATTTATTAATCTTTATTAAATTTATTTCAAACTATTTGATTGTTTTTATTTCGATTTAATTTTTATACCGCTGTTAAGTTAGCAACTGGGTTTCCACTGCAGAATGTTTTTATGTGATATTTAATATTATAGATGTTGATACGTAATTGTTATGAATGATTGAAGTTATACAAAGTTATTCACGTGTTTGCGTATTTAGAGCGATAATTCCTGTACTTATTCAGTACTTTTACTGGGGACTTAAATCATTATAAACATAAATCTTGTAGGGTAACCATAATTGGTTGTCAAGTGCAATGTCCCACTGGGACTGTCACAGTGGCGCTTAGGATGGTTGCAGGGGGTTTATAGTAACTAGATATCTCACTTAATACTATATTACCCCCAAAAGGTAGGGTATCTTTTAAAGACTACCTCCCCCATATCAAAACAGGGTAACCATAATCTTTATATATTGTTCTGTGAGTGTGTATGTCACTGAACTTCTCTCAAACGACTGGACCGATTTTTATGAAATTTTTTGTGTGTGTTCAAGGGGATCTGGGAATGGTTTAGATTCACAATTTTCATCAAATATTAACTTCATATTAATTTATTCAAATTAAAGACGTGTAGACAGGACAACGTCTGTCGGGTCCGCTAGTTAATTTATAAAACTTGAAACTTTTACAGGTTATAAAAAACGTAATTTACCTTTTAAATAAATAATTAAAATATGCTAAAATGTCTTGTATACATGGACATACTACAAACTGAATGACCTATGTCCATATCAATACAACACTTTCCACGCATTTATCAAATGAGTTCGAAGTTTATGTGTAACATACAACTTTTCTGCGTTTTCCGTCATATTTATTGTAGCATCAGCTCACTATACGTCTTCACTGAGGACTTGGAGCCTTTTTTTTTCAGAGAGAAATGCTTTATGCATACTCCGCGCCCCGGGGGGGACGCGGTAGTTATGTGGGATTCTCCTCCATAGCGGAGGCATACCCACTAAACCTCTCTGTTCCTCCAACGCATCGGGACGGGACCACCGGCACGCTTTCGCTCTCGTCCGCGGCCAAGAGCTTGGAGCCTACCTAGATGGCTAGTTATAGGCCATAGTCAAACATTCTGGGCCAGAGCGAATTTGTTGATTTCACATATATCTTTATGATTTTGATTAGAAATGTTTCCGAAAGAAGATTATTAAACAAATTAATAATATTAAACAGTGAGAAAGTTAATAAAGTTCTAGAGTGTCGGCCACGGACAGGTCGACGCAGCGTGGACAGGCCTCCCGCAAGATGGACCGATGACCTGGTCAAGGTTGCGGGAGCGTCCTGGATGCAGGTAGCAAAGTACCGGTCATCGTGGCGATCTTTGGGGGAGGTCTATGCTCAGCAGTGGGCGACTAACGGCTGAGAAAGAAGAAGAAAAAACACTGAGAAATTGTCTTATATTATTCTACATAGCGCATAGAATGTTATTCCCCAACACATGAGGAAACACAACGTTGTAATCATAGTACGAAGAGATAAACTAAAGATAAATAAGTCTAAATGGTTATTGCAACCTTTGACATAGTTGATTAGAAATATTAAATATATGTTACACTTGTATGTATTTATAGTTGAATCTAATGACGCATTACGAGGCAGTTATTTAGGCAAGATTATTGTTGACGTCATATTATGTAGATGCAATGTAATCATGTTACTACATAATTTATAATACATAAGATTTGAACTTGTCGTGGTTAGCTGCGACCGCATGTCTATGTTGTTTGGAGACAGGCCGATGCATTATTGGTGGAGGAAACCATGCGCACGTGTATCTTTCCTGCATTCCTTTACTCTCTCTCTCTTTCAAGGTGTCTCTCCATTTAATGGAGGTTGGCCGTCAGCTTAGTACACTTTTTCCGGACTTGCCAAACGAAATCAATGTTCCACGATGGTAATATTCGTCCACTTCTTGATATTTCGCAGGCACGATTTCTTTGCTGCGATTTCATGCATTCCTTTACGTTCAGCCTAAAATTATGTCTACGAATCATCACGTACGAAATTGAGAGCCGCCGAAAATTTGAGCAGCTGCATATTATAACAAACTAGCTGTTGCGCTCGACTCTGTCCGCGCGTAATTACAGAAGATCTTAATTAGTAGCCTATATCTTCTTCCAGACTAAGTTCTACATATATACCTACCAAATTTCTGCGAGATCCGTTAAGTCACTCTAGAGATAGCTTCTTACAAAAACCCATCTATTAATCCATCCATCCATCCTTCTAAAAAATCGCTCTTATAATATTACTAAGAAGTAAGATTGATACTTTTACCGTGAGTTTCTGAGACCCGTTGTGCGTCCTAATTTAGTCCTCTTTCCCTTCCCACCTTTTTCCTTATAAGAAAAGGATGGGAAGTGGAAGTGGACTTTCCGGATGAGAGGATACATCGGAAGGGAAAATATTTTCTTTCTGTGCATCCTCTCCTCCGTCGATGAAAGGTAGGTAACGTATATGCAATTGCGTATGTCTATGGGCAACGGTCACTTCGATATTTCAGCGATTTCAGACGGCCGCTCGCTCGTTTGCCACCATATGACATAAAAAAACCTAAATGCTCGTTAAAAACAGACAATCGGTAAAAAAACATTACACATGTTTGAAATAGAAATCGAATAGATAGATCTTTATCTATTAAGATCCTTCAACTGAATCTCTCTCTTCTATTGTTATCTTTATAACAATAGAAGAGAGAGATTCAGTTGAAGGATCTTCGGGTGTATATTACACCTAATTATACTTATTTTAATACTTTTGAGTATTAAAGAATTATTTATAACTTAATTCATGCAATCCTCGACACAAAATGTTATCAGAGATTAAATGCTAAACAACAATGTTGCAACATCCAAGTCATTGTCAGCGTGTGTCAGGTGTGGTTGACTGGTCGACGCACTGCATGATTATTAAGGTGCGTTTACACGGTACATGATACTGCAGACGGACATACGACATTTTTTGTGACCGATTGGTCACTGTTTGCCTTGAAGAGACATTTACAGCTTCACCGGGCTTGAGGTGGACGGGCGCAGATGGCTTAGCCTGAACCTCGTTTAAGAGTAAACAGTCTCGAGGGCTCTCTCAGGAGCTTAGGCTCAGACTGTTACTTCAACACACAATGGCCGTAGATGCGCTGTATAAATAACTTCGTGTTGTCTGTAATCTGAGCTGTCTGTTTGTGCGCAGTTTTCGTGGTCAGCCGTCTACATATGTCCGCAGACTCAAGTACCATGAAAACTTATCTTTACGTACACCAAGATTCACGACCTAGGCACATACTGAATGCGTTCGATGACATCTTATTTACAATTTCTATATATAGATATTGTTTTTGAACATTTATCTGTATCGCTTATAATCGTTGTGTATTTTGTTTACTTTTTATAAGGTCAAAGTACTTTTTAAAAGTAATACAACTCATGAATAGATCAATTGCCTCAAATTGACAATTTACTTTGACAAAGTTCTTTTTATCCAATATTACAATGTTGCTGGTATACTTTTAATTCCTTAATTCAAACTGTTTACTATACGTGAACTTATTACGGGTCAGTTCATTAAGAATTAAACCAATAACAAGAGAAACATGAACTTTATAGTTAAGTGACAATATTCTCTTATCCATCGAAGCCATCTTTGCTTCCTTCAAGAATTATGTGCCAATAAAATAGCTTAAAATTGCAGTCGCAAATAAAAATTATAATATATTCTTAGTGTAGATATTGTTATATGTATGGTTCAAACGTCTTTAGCACCAATATGAAGCCTGACCTTTTTCAGTTCAACTTGAATCCATCTCATAATATATATTAAAGTTATCATAAGATTTTACGCAAAAAAAAATAAGCGTGAAATCCGAGGAGGGTCGGTGCAGAGGGTATCACTACCTTGTCTATAAATACCGCTATCTAAAGATATCGGGTATCGGAGGCCGCGCGTCTTACGATCACGCCTCCGCGGACTGTCGTGACGTCACCAACACGCCCCAGCCGCCCCACTCGTGTTGATAATCTCTATCTACCCGCACTATCAATTGACACAATATTACTGATTAAAACAAATAAAAAAAACATGTTTGCCAAAAGAAATAGTCACGTGTCTATTTCTACTATATTAGATTCTATCTTTAATCGTGGATTTCTGGCACTGAAATCCCCATTTAAAATATATTGTTAACTCTACTTTAAGATAATAACAGGAATGACATGTTTAAATACAGCTTTTTCAGAAACCCACGGTAAGCTTTTCTTTTCAGCCCAAGATTACTCATGAATATAGTACAGAAGTGCACTGCATTGACATTTGGATTAATATTAAAACATATTGCCATCCCTTACATTTTCTTTGAGAAAACAAAGACAACAAGACGTATCGATTTGTTACTACGTATCAGTTTATAATATTTTTCATGTTTATTGGATTATCAAAACGGCGTGCGTTGACTTTTCTGATTACATATAATATTTGGAAGATTGTTTTTATATTATTTAGAGCTTTTCTTTGACACTTATTATTGTTGTACTTCCGCGTGCGAATAGCTTGGAATATAAAGGAGTTTCAAACTTAGAAGTACACGTGAAATATATGTGAATTTCGACTATCGAAACGTTCATGTAACATTGTATTGTCATCCCTTTCATTCTCGTTGAAATGAAAGAGACAACAATATATGTCAAGGCGGGAATTTCACGGTTATTTTACAAGCAGACAGGAGGATTTCTTCTACCAAAGTTTCGTTTTGTTAATTAATTTAAAATTTAATCTATTTCTGTTATTAAATACTCTGTAACTATAAATAACATTATTATGTCTTAAAAGAATAAAAATATCGACTTTAATGTACTTTAAATATTCAAACAGAAATCATCGTTTTACTTCAATGAAAATATTTTGTCCTTCCTTATGCAAAAGACGAGTTATAATTATGAAATTGAATTAAAATTTTACAGAGCACAATTTTCCAGCCACGCCATTAAATAATTTATTTTATAAAATAAAACAGACACTATATTTAATTACTCTGTACCAGTGATATAAAATGAATAGATAACGATTATAAAAATAAACTTGCGTTGTCTAGTGTTACATTACTCTGTGCGGATATACTTAAGAAGGTGGTCAAGTGAACAATCAGTCAGTTATTCTGCTTTTGCGCTGAACGCATCATGTCTCGAGAAGAGGTCACTATGTTTGTACTAAGAAAGATCGTGGTTGACGCATTTATGTTTGGTGCTTGTAAGTTATTATTTTTTTTTTTTTTTAAAGTGTTTCGGTTCGAAAAATTAATTAATCTGATTTTTTTATAAATTTTTATTTAATTAAAATTAAAAAAGTGGTAAAATATCTGAATAAATTATTTATGATAATAAATTATTTTTATAACCTGTAATATTTATTTTTAAATAAGCGACTTTTTCTGATAAAAGGCAAAAAATCTTTTAAACTCTCAATTTGTTCGTGTTTTAAAGTTCCGTGGTATACGGTAACTTTCACGCAATTAACTTGTTCAGAGATTTACCGTTTCCTGGCGACTTGTGACGATTTCCCGTCAATTCAATAACAGGATAGCTCTGTACAGATATTAGCTTCGGATTTTCATCTTAATTTCAAAGTTGTGGACGTCAGTTTTTACGTACAAGTATGACGTGGGAGCCTTCAAGAGTAGAGTGAATAGGGATTTACTAAGCTAGAGCGTACCATTCGACCACATCATTACTTAACATGAAGCGGAATCGTGGTCAAGCGCTAACTTATTTAAAATGAAAAAAATCAACCTAGATATAGACTAAAAACTATAGATTTAAAAACACTAAAAAGAGCATTTTAAAGTTTTATCATTGTTTTAAACTCCTAGTGGCATTCAGCATCTACTTCACACGGTACCTATGGCCGCCCTTCGAGCGCGGCTTCTTCTGCGGAGACGAGAGCCTGATGTTCCCCTACAAGAATGACACCGTATCTACTACGGTTCTCAGAGCTGTCGGGCTCGGATTGCCCATTGCCTTTGTAAGTTTACTAAGACATTTATCTTCAGCTTACTATACGTCCTCACTGGCTGCTGGGGCTTGGAGACTACCCCAAGTTAGCGGTGACTAAGCCATGTTCAACCACTCTAGCATAGTGCGACTTCACACATATCTTCCAATTACTTCGCAGATATGTGAAAGTTGAACCACGATGTTTTGATAATTGTACATATGTAAATCGAAAATCAAATAACACAAAAGTACATGGCGGAATTCGAACCCGACGGAATACGATATTAACAACAATGAACATTTATAAAATGTTCATTGTTTTAAGCTTGAATGTAGATGGATTTTTGTTTGTAATTATTTTTCTAAATACAATTTTCAGCAACTTTTAGTCCAACTCAAAATGACAGAAGTAAAAATTTAACAACGAAATACAAAAAAAAATATATTAATAACACTATGATTGTTGACAGTTCCTTGTATGCGAATGGGTGCTACTTCGGAATAACTACGAGAATAAGCGCTGTTTCGGTCTGCGCGTGCCAAGCTGGTTGCGCGGTTTCTACTGCGCTATGGTCTCCTTTGGTCTGGGCACCTGCTTCGTCGAGCTAACTACCAACATTGCTAAGAACGTCATAGGAAGACCACGACCACATTTCTTTGATGTACGTACCTTTAATTTAATAACATTATATTACGTATCTTGGTAACAAAAACATTCTTAATTATTTTTAGTAGTGGAAACTTTGACTTTATAAATATCGTAATCTTTTTTCTTATTTTTTGAAAATTTAGTACTGTAAATGTATAGGATAAAGAATAGGTCTGAAATAAGGTCGTTTCGTTTCAAACTTGATTGAACTTAATTCAATGGAACTACATATTTCCTGCGCTGATGCAGATTTAAGTGGTCCTTTATAATGCCAATTGCGTCTACGTAACGTCGGAAAGTAGAGTTCTTAGGACAATAATAGTATAACAAAAAAAATCTTATTCTTACATTTTTACTTTAAAGAAATTTCATTAGTCCAAAATATTTTACAGCTACGTTCAAATTTTGTTTATGGTCAACCAAATGTATAAAAAATACAATTATACATAGACAACAGTTATTTAGTTTACGTATGACGTGTTTTAGTTAAATTGCGATCGATGAGATAACAAAAATTGGTCGTTAGAGATAAAAATATTTTATTTTACTACGATTAAATAATTTATAGGAAAAGTATTATCATTATCGTTATCATTATATATTTAATTCCTCATAGTAACAAGCGTTTTAATTTTATCAACATGTGAAAATCCAACACTATGCCGGTGTACTGGCACAACACTAGCCTTACAAAAATATAGACATTTATGTCCCCTCACTAATCATTCTGACACTTGACTTTGTAATGTAAGCGCGCCAAAGAATTGTATTTAATTATATCTAAAACTAGCTATTTCCCGCGATTTCATTTGCGGTTTGTTAAAAAATGTTGAATTAGTGGTCTATTCAGGATTCTAATCTATCTTCAAACAATCAGATCCAGCTTTATTGTGGTATTATAAAATTATCATTAAATAATTAATTATTACTAATTATTAATTTTGAATGAATTACTTAATAATCAAAACTAACATTGTCTTTAGTTATGTAAGTGTGAAGTCAACCAACCTGCACTAGGCCAGCGTGGTTGACTATGGCCTAATCACCCCTAAATTAGGGTAGGCTCCGAGCTCCTCAATGGAGACGTATAGTGAGTTAATGATGATGTAAGCATAAAACGTTACAATTATTTTAGTTATGTAGATTGACTTATATCAATTTCGATTTTAATCTTCGCAGTTAATTAATTGATTAGCAGGTCAAGATAATTATATTTAATTATGCTTCCTATTAATTATGACTAAGGTCAAGTTTCCATTAATTAAACCACGTGTTAGTGCAAATTGAAACTTAAAACCGGTTGCATTAGGCTCTTAGTGCACTAGGAAATGTAAATCTTCGAAACTAATATCTTATCGTCGCAAGTATCGCGTTGTGCGCGCTTAATATCGAATCATCGACGCAAATCTTCTATTCGGTCTGTACAGGCATAGGGATATGGCAGATGTATAAGTTTGCTTTTTCGCCACTATTTTGAAAAAAAATGCGAGCGACGATCTTTAGCAACGATAGAACAGAATCTCAGCAACACGTGCCTGTGTACGAAGGTCTTTGATATACTTTGAGACTAATTAATAATCGACTAAAATCATCGGGTTTTAAAGATTCTTATTTCCTTGTGTACGATCTGCCTTATTGTCATATGATCCGGAAATAATAGAGGATCAAAGTATTTAACAATAGCTGATATTTTATGACGTAAGCATAACAATGTCTTAAGTATTATAAAATTATATTTCTACTACTAAGTGTAGTAATATTACTGAATATTAGTTTCCGCATTTTATTTAATTTATAAATATTTTAAATGAAATGTTATAATTTGATAAATAAACGTAATCGAATTTCTGAGTAACTAAATAAGAAAAGAAAATCAATAAATGTCGATTATCGATTTATTTTTTATCGATATGTTATCGATTGAGTCCGATTAAAGTCCGTAATGAATTGCCAACTTATTTACTATTAGTAAGTACATAAATACTATAAAACAATTGACTGCCGTAAACAAAATAATATTTCCTTATCCATAATAATTTCCCTGTTTATAATTTGTAATAGTGATGTAACGATTATTTGTATTATAAAACTTAATTATTAAAATAATGTACAATTTATCATTTCACTAAAATATTACCTTTACTGATTTATATGACTCAGTGTAACCTAAACAATTAAATCGATTTTGACGAGAGAGGTTTTATTCGATTTACTAATCGAAGTAGTAATTCGATTTACTACTCTTAAGTATCATTAGGTACACAATGAGTGGGGTTCTTTATCTTTTAACTAATAAATAGAGTTTTTCCGTAGTTATGCAAACCATCAGTCGACTGCAGTATGATGACGTGGCGCGGGAGGTACATTCAAGCGGACGAGTACACTTGCACCGGCACTCTAACAGACAAGTTTGCGGACATGCACATGTCTTTCCTCAGCGGACACTCGTCCTGGTCCGCGTACACCATGATTTATTTAGCTGTAAGTAATAAAGTTTACTTAGTCAAAAATATGCGATGTTGTGAAAGCAAGACGGTTGCAAAGAAGAATTACATTTACGCATCTAATTAAGGGGATGTTTTAAATTCAGAAATATTGCACTTTAAGTCAATACTTTACAAGTCATTATTTTTATCTCGCTCTATTCAATCGTGGTACCAATATGTTTGTCTCGCTCTGTACAGCTATACCTAGAGAAGCGTATGGTTTGGCGCGGCACCCGAGTCCTCCGCCATTCTCTGCAGTTCGCTGTCGTCATGCTGAGTTGGTTCACCGCACTGTCTCGCGTCTCTGACTACAAACACCACTGGAGCGATGTGCTTGCTGGATATTGCCTTGGTCTTACGCTTGCTGTATTGGTGGTAAGGAGCTATACTGGACATGTACAGTCAGCTGCAAAAATATTTTTACATTTATAAAACTTTAGAAATTTGTGTATGCCTTCGGCTTTAAAAATACTTATACGCATATATCATTCATGGTCGGAAGCATACAGACGAATATGAGAATACTAATTTCTAAAACTTATCTGAATTTCTGAAGCGTTGTTAAGTATATATTTTTGTGCAGCTGACTGTACTTAATTAGTTCATACCAAAATTTGATAAACATGTTTGCATGTTCCTGTAACTTGGTATACCGAAGTACACAAATCTCATCTCATATAAATCTTGACATATTTTTTATGACGTTACGACGAAATGTCGCAAATATTAGTGTTTGACCCCCATTATTACTGAATGACTTAACACAAAAAGTGCTAGTCAGTGAAACAACTTACTGTATTTTAAATTGACTTACAACTTGTTTTTCTTACCAGTGGACATGGGGCACCGACATCATACCACAGAAGAAAAAACATTCCCCGTTGCCGCAACATGACTTTTCCTTGGCGATACATCCACATGCTGCTGCGCCCGCGTAGCAGAAATATAATAAGTTAATAATTAATTTACGATAATACTCAAAAAATATTGTCTTAAGGAAATTGTTCATATTTTAAATTCTATGTGTAAATTTTCATTATTTTAGTCGTGAAATTGTGCCAGTTTAAACATAACATTATTTAGTTTATATTTACTGTTAAACATAAGTTAGGTTTAGAGTATAAGATAGTAAATTATGTACATTTATATTTAATTCTAAACGCCTGGCAAAATTTTTATGACAGTGTTGTGATGGAATATAAAAATTCGCATCAATATTTGCAAATAATGAAGTCTTCTGTGATATTAATTTACGCCAACAATATTTTTCATAGATATTTTTTCATAAATAAATGTGAAAAATAAAAAAAAAAACGTTTCATTTTTACTTATAATATATTTATACTCCACGTCAGCGATAGGCCAGCAAACCAAAAAGTTTTAGCAATTTTGCTAAAACTTCCTGGTGGATTTTACAATTTGTAAAATTTGCTATAAATATATGTCAGGCGTTGGGTCACAAGGTGCTAATATAGTCATTTTATACTTCTACAACTTCCCGCCAACCTTTTAATTTTAACATAAAGTTAATCGATAAAGCACTTAATATGGATGACTATTTTTATTGATTTTCTATTTGTTTTAGGTGTACTACTTTATTCGTCCGTCGAGACGAAATTAAATTTAAAAAAAAGGCCTTGACAGACGTCAGAACTTCTATTATTAGCAAATATTGTCAGAAACTAGTACGGTGCGTATTTGTAAATATGCTGATCGGTTCCATATATACTTCATGTTCCTATATTAATATTTAATATCCATTGACACGCGAGTTTTATTTTTATTTACCAAGCTAGTCTACTTTCCGTTTTCAAACATATATATAGCAATCTATCATTTTTATCAGTTTTAACGATAACTTTTACTTTAGACACATAATGATAACAATCGTATAGTTCATTGGAATGAGTCTATTATTCTGACAAATATAAAACTACTAACGATATAACCCACGTGACATTAAGTCATCCTAAAGTCGAAGTCATTCAGATCGCATTGTGTCAAATTTTATTTTTATAATATACGAGAGTGATAATTTTTTTTGGAAACTTATCAGTAACTTTTCTCTACAACTTGTGACTCGTTGAACTCTTTTCCTAGAGATAAATTTCTCAAGGATTTCCGGTCTAAGAACGAAGGCGTCACTTATTAAACATATCGCTAGGAAAAACCTTAACATAATACAAAACAAGTTATGTATAATGTTCTATGTTATTTAAACATATTTAAGTAAAAAATTAATATATTAATTAATGATAACAAGAAACAATAAAATATAATAATCGATATATAATGGACAATACAATTAAGAAGAAAATAAAGAAAGTATATATCTTCTTGTTCATACAGACTTATTTACATATGTTATATACCATATAGATATATACTAATCATTCTCCACTATGTAGGTACAGTTAAAGGAATTCTACTTCCTACTTAGAATGGAATATTTGGAAAGAAATATTTACATTTTTTTAATTTGCTATGACAATTTTTACAGCTTATTGCATTGTGAGCGTCAAATCACATTTCATATAATGGGTAGGAAATAAATTTCCTTGACTGTATGTACTTTTAATTATATTGTAAAATTACTGCATTAATTCTACCATCATTTAGTTGATTTGTTATATAACCTTTTTATATGTTATATGATAAATAATTTAGAATAGCAGTGAGTTTGTACTGATGTGAATCCTCTGTTAGTATTTTACTTTCTCCGGTGGACGCTTCACAGGCCGGAATGTCTCGCGGCCGCGGTCCGCGCCCGGCCACCTTGTACAAAGAATATACAAAGCAAAAGTTACATATACACTATCGGTTTCCACTGTCAAAACAATTGTGAAAAACATTTTAGTATCCCTTTCACTAATGGTCAAATTTATATTTGAATATGTCGCGAAAAGATATTCGCGGTAATATTGAAAAAATAAATACTGATAGTAGACATTACTAGAGTACGCAAGAGAAATATTAATAAAGAGAACAAATACAACAATACAAAGGTTAGGAATTACATTTTTTATAAACCTTATAATTATTAAGTAAATGTCTTAAAGTTTATGTAAAATTATTTCATCTAACATCAATTTTTTCTTTTTATATTGCAAGAAATACCTCACAGCACTTTTAGGATTCATGATTATAATTTTGAAATGAAATATCATTGTGAAAAGTCTCTGAGAGACAACAAAATACCAACCATAAAACGGCTACAACCTGCAAATAGAAAAGGCTCTTTGCGAGTCCGTGCCGGCGGTAAACAATCGCAACAGCAACAGTGCTGGGCCGGCCGTCGCGGAGAACGCACGCGTGTCACCACAATGACAATACTTAACGCATAACAGGTGTTTGTGAAAAAAAGATAGTTATAAAACATTCTAAAACAAAAAGGCAAAGACATAGATCCGTTTAGATTAACTTTTTTTGTAGTTTGTTCGTATTACAAAAGTGCGCAAGTGGTACCGTTGTTATTCCATTTCTTTTTCCGTTAAGCGTGTGCCAGTGGTATTGTGTTGTGAGATCGGATGGCTTTGGCTCGGCAATGTCCATCTAGAGATTGCCTCTATGTGGCAACTTATATTTTGATTGAGGACAGCTAAAAATACAACTCGTTAAGTTAAACATATGTCTACACACGTTCACGTTGTTGTGTAAATATTTATTTTTTTACACTTACATGTTGAAAGCAGTGAAATTAAGCAAAGGTGCTCTTGGATTGAAACATGATTTCTTATGACGTACACATTAAAGTAGAAAGGTCTCTATCTTAAACAAAACGTCATCAAACATGACGTTAAAATTAAATATAATAGTTTTCATTACTACTCAACGCGATGAAAAAATATTAAACAAATAAATTAATATAAAAATGTTTGTCAGTAATCTTTTACCTTATATTTTTTTCAATAAAACTTAAATTGACGTGTAGTAATTAAAACAAGCAATTAATAACATTGTGAACTTCATTTTAATTAATTGCAACATGCCAAATAAATATAAAATATCGGAAAAGTTTAATTACATTCTTATTAATGAAACATAACTTAAACCTAACTTTACTAAGCTAAGTCTCTGGTTAATCACATAACTGTAACCTTTATTATTACTATTATATTAGTCAAGTTCAAGTTGTAAAGGTCATCAGATATGCTTAATGAAATGTCAACATGCTTAAGTACTGCGAAGGTGTAATAGTAACTTAATTTTGAATACTTTTAAAATGCTCTAGTTTACCTTCAAAAGTCTGCGTGGGCGCAGCGCCGATAGCGTCCTTGTCAGATAATGACACTAGCTTTCGCCACAGATGTTACGTATAAATGTGTAGTTCTAATAAACAGATACCCCTTTTCAATGTAGGCCTCTCTCAATTCTCATGATAGTCTATAAAAAATCTTTAAAAGAATGGTGTTCCTACTTTATATAATGCAACGGATTCAACAAAATCATAAATTATAAAATAAATAAAAAATAATATTAGTAAACCACCCAAAATTATTATTACACTAAAGTGATTTTTTAGGCAAGACATAATTTTGTTATTTTTTTTTTATTTTTGTTTGTAAAAATTAACTGATACTAATAATAATTAAGCTCGATCGATTCATTATTTTTCGCATTATAGTGCTACCAAATTTAAATTATCACCATCATCATCATCATCAGCTTTAGTTAGGTTAGGTTAACCTAACGTACGTCCCCTCCGAAGGGCTCGGAGCCTACCCTAAGTTAAGGGTGATTTGGCCATAGTCAACCACGCTGGCCAAGTGCGGGTTGGTTGACTTCACACATATCTTTTTTTAGATATGTGCAGGTTGCATCACGATGTCTTCCTTCACCGTAAGAACGTCGGATAAATGTACATATGTAAATCGGAAATCGAAAAACACCTTAGTACATGGCGGGATTCGAACCCAGGACCTGCAGATTGCAAGTCAAGTACTTTACCACTGAGCCACCAACGCTCCACTGCAATTTAAATCACATTATTGTTATCACAAATATTACAAAACAGATCATGTAGGATAATAAAACGATTTCATTCAGTTACGATTCATTGAGAAAATGCAAACGAAGTAAAAGTAGTTTGCCCCTCAGCCCTGCACGTCCCACACTGGGCCTACGCGAGTGTTCGCGGACGATTGACCAACACTCGCCAAAACATGCACCTACTGCTCTCTCATTTATGATACTAATAGATAATATTCATAAAATAGGTATAACTATTCTCTACATAATATAAAAAAGCTTCATCACGTCTGTATTTGTCTAATAGACATAAACTCAAAGTTATAAAATGATAGTATTACCAATTTACTGACGAACTCAGTGTTGATGATTACTTCAGCAGTACTCTAGTGTAGGTGAACTAATTCTACACTAAGGACCACCTTTAGTGGCCATTCAATGAGTTTCAAGGTGATAGTGATTCATGAAGATTTTAAGTTCTTTGAAGTTATTCTTCAATTAGGTTTTCCTTTCCTTTATTACAAGGCTCGTTACTTATAAGTAAAGAAATAGAAAATAGACCGATTTACAAATAATATATGTATATTATCAAATTAAAATGAACAACGTGTCATCTCGTTTTTGGACATTGGTTATTTTATTACAGTTTCGTGGCTCGTGTCCTTTTTTGCTCTTTTATTGGGTGTACCTTCGCTATGTTATGGTGCCTCAGATGATGTCATCTCTATACGTACCTATTCTAGTCAACGCGAACGATTGCCCGATAAAGGCATTTACCTGTACCGTAACACGACGTTTACATTATCTTGAAAATACAATATTTTTTCTAAGCTCAAGCTTTGGAGTTTTCTGGCAGATAATCTTTACAAATAGGAAAATTTGTTTAAAACATGTTTGTGATTTTAGAAATAAAAAAAATAATTTCTTAAGGACATATTTTATAGTTATAATTTACGTGGTTAGAATTAATATATCTCTGTGTTGCCTGTCAAATAGTATGTGATAGATCACTTCAAGAATACGTTTTTGTTATTTTCGCAGAAAAAAAAAACGTTCTTAAAATTTGCTTAGCTTAGTTTGTTTCCCTATTCCTGATGGTCACGACCTCTGTTCTCAACCTTCTCTCTTATGATGTTTATAATATTTATAATAACTGTTTATCTTAAATGGCACAACTATGCGTTATTTCTAATAACAAACATAAAGAAGCTTTGTAATTGCGAGTATTTAAAACAATAGGTGTAGGTTACTTACAAGCAGTTTGCAAATTATTCTTAGCGTGTATCAGGCTGTAACATTGTATTCGCGCGGTCCAATAGTCGATGCCGCATGTGTTGTGTGTCCCAAGTTAAAAGCGAATTAGGATTATAATGACCACTGGAAAAATATAATATAATTATAGTGTCCGGTGAATTTGTAGAAAAGACATTGTCATCTCTACTAAACTTCGACTTTCAAACTACAGTCGAACCTGGATGAGCTAGAAACTATAAGCGTGAGTCAATATCCGATCCCGATGACCTCCATAAGCGAGCGAGATGTAAAGAGAAACATCTAAGCGAAAAAAATATCGTTGACCCTTGGACTCTCGCTCATATTGTTTTAACTGCATATAAGTCTGTTTTGAAAACCATCCTCATTTCAATCAGGAAGACATAAAATATTAACCAATGAGTTTCAGTAATAAAAAATACAATTAGAAATCGCTTCAGCGTGTAATTTATATCGTATCGATGCCCGAGGCGGTATGCAACTAGCACGCATTGATATGCAATGAACAATACCCAAGCACTGGAACGAAGCATTTGAAATTAGTCAATTGCGAAATCGTACCAATTAAAGCGACAACATAAATTACTTGATACTTAACTTAGTCAATGTAAATACCCATCAAATAAAAATCTTCAATGAAAGTTTAATAATGATAAATTACTTTCGCTAATTTCTGTAACAGAAGCTACACATCGTAGTTTATAGCTTTAAATATATGTATACGCGTGGTCAGTTCATTTACTTACTTAAACGAGGGGCAAGAAAGAGGGTGTTTTGGATCAATACAGACTAGCCGCTATAATACGCGTGTTTGCTGCGACGTAATATTAAATCAAAACTATTATAGTATATTTGTTAATGTACTAAAAATATTCGAATTAGTTTAATTGGATAAACTTTTGCTCAGAAAATAAAACTACTGGCACTAAATAACTTTATTAATATAAAATCTTGTCTATAGCCTAATAATAATTATAATGTTACCAGGTGTACAAGTGTAGATAAGTGTAACAAGTGTAAGTGACAATAAGTGTACCAAGTGTTTATTTTAATGATGAGTTAGTTGTAAAGTGCCGTCATGTATCGGCCCAACTTTTACGAGAGCACGTGCTTTCGTTGCAATGAGATCGTATATCAGGTGGACCGCGTTGGCCCACTCAAGGACTTTACATTCTTTCATAGTGGCTGTTTCAAGTGTGCGGTATGCGGCACCAAGTTAACTTTGAAAGTAAGTAAATATTAAATACAACATTATCATCATCATCATCTTTACTATCCACACCACCTGGATGGCTGGCATTCCACAACGGTGCGATTCTCGCGCAATTTCTTGCCTCGAACAGCCGCGTTGTGGAACGGTCTGTCCTCGGCGGTATTTCCAAACCAATACAACTTACGGACCTTCAAGAAGCGAGCATACCATTTCCTTAAAGGCCGGCAACGCATCTGCAGTTCCTCTAGTGTTGCAGATGTCCGTGGGTGTCGTTGATCCCCTCGGTGTTCACGCCGCTCGTTTGCCCCCTTCACTTATAAAAAAAAACAGATAGGTGATGATCATACCAATAATTTACGGTAGGCATCTCCCATCGTGACTAGCATAATATCGTCCAAAAAGCATTATATATTATATTATTATATGCATATTAATAGTTTGTAGAGATTTATACAGTTTTCAACATTTGCTTTTTTTATTATTTTTTTTAACATAAAACAGCAACTACGTTTTGATAAGACAGCGAGGTCGCACAAACGACTAAATGGCAGTCGACAGCATGAAGATATAGCGTACAGATCAAGGCCGCGTCGACAAATCACAACTTGTTTTGCGACGATTGTACTCAAATTGATGTATAAAACTTTAAAAAAATTATGCAGTAAAATCGATTTTGTGTGGTACACTTAATATACAATATCTTTATTAAAACAGAGGCCTAGCACGACACTTTGCGAGAAAGTATTCGTCATTCATCGACAATCAAAATTCGTATAATATTTGTCGTTGTACTTTACGCTCGATACAAATACGATTTTTTTAATAACGAATACATGCTTTAAAATTTTCGTGATTAGCCTCCAGGTTTATTTACAGATTTAAATATATTTAAATCTTTTTCAAACCAGGAAAATCGTAAAAATGGATAATAATATTTTAGTTTTATTTACTTACTCTGTAATATAAAAAACCGTTTAACATGTTAAAATAAACTTAACATGAAAACAAAAGGACAAGATCAAAACCAGCAACAGCTGTTCTTATAGAAATGATTAATACAAAGTAAATAAAAGTTTGTAAAAAATATACGATCAGACGTTTATGAGTCAGAACTGAATCCTTGAGTTATCAACGTGAATTACTCATTGCTTATATTGTATTATCGTGCTGTAATTTTATCACCTGTTATATATTACACGGATTGACTACTGTTATGTATTTATTGGGATTTTAAAATTACACGTGTACAACAACTTTATTTCGACGATTAAGGCAATCCATTGCAACCTTTTTGCAATGTTTAAAAAATTACTACCAATCACGCCTTTAATTTATAAAAAAAAAAACAAAAGTTCGCCCTCTAAAGTTCAATAATTATATTTTATTATCTATAGAAAACTACACAGGGATTACAAAGTTTAAGTATATTTCTTTTAGATTGAATTTCTTCGGTTTTAAAATTTAAATGATATTCAATTATGATGTTATTAATTGTTTTAAATTTTAAAACGTAGGCAGTAAAAACTTACTAATATGAATGGCTGCATATGTAAAGGCTTTAAACGACTAAACTTGGATTTCTGAGACAAAAATCCCTGTTTAAAACATGTTGTTATCACTGTTTTGTCAAATATAATTACATGACGACATGTTTTATACAGAGATTTCGGTTTCGGAAACCCACGGTAAACATTAATAATAAGTAACCGAAGTAATCATAAAACATTAACAACACTGTAACCAAAAAAATGCAATTGAAGCGTCAATAGCCTAATAGTTAAGGGTACGGATTTCCGATCACGAGGTCGGGGTTTCGAATCCCGCCATTCAACTACTGTCGTAAACCATATCCTAGCACAGGTCTAGAGCTTAGTTGGAATGGTAAAAAGAAATATTAGTAAATTTAAAAAAAAAACTGCTAAAATTTATAAAAAAAAGCGTAAGCGTAAAATTCGTTTCCCACAGATCGCGGATGTGAGCGAGCAAAGTAAGAATTAACATCGCCCATTAACAAACTGGAAAACAAACAATGCAATGTGAAAGTAAATAACGGTACATTAATTTCATATGAATTAAATAACTATTTAACGGTGAGTTTGTTTCATTAAAACGTTGTACGTCCACCGTAAGTTGATCTCTTGTTTGTCAAATTTGGGAAAAAATTTCGCTGATACCGGATAATATGAAAGGTTAAGTTCCAATGGTTTTTGTGCTATTACATGATATGAATCGGTCGAAAAATGCAACCACATGTCAAATAGTTTAACATGTTCTTTGTCTTTTACTATGCATTCACATAATTAGTAGCCTATATGTTCTTCCAGACTATGTTCCATATGTATCCCAATTTTCATCGAGATCCGTTTAGCCGTTCTGGAAATACCTACAAAGAAACATGCATCCATCTATCCAACCATCCATCGATATAAACATTCGCATTTATAATATTGGTAAGAAGTAAGATTAACCGAGAATTAAAACTATAAAATTTTGTGTTACGTTCGGTTCGATTGGATTCATTCTGTTTTATGACGTCTCATTTGGGTTAGTATAGGTTATTAAGATTTTATAATTGTTTAATTTACACTTATCCTTGTTCAATACAGAACTATCGCAGCGATATGTCGTTATTGCGTGCAATTCACGAAACTATCATGTTATTCTTCACGCATTGTAAAAGTCGTGTGCCACGAAATTTTAAACGACACGCACTTATTTATTGTAGTTTACGTGACAAAATGTACCGTCGGTATGTACTGTCACTTACCTGTCTTGTTACAGTTTTTAAACACGTTAATTTTCTAATCACTTCAGGTAATTATTAAGCTTCACTTGTTAGTTTCAAATTCGCTTCATCCGTGCGATGATAAAGATAAATTGTTAGCGTGAGCTAAAACGTTGAATAAAATGTTAATTAAACATTAAACGTACGATATTAATTTATCTGAAGGAATGAAGAAACTATTATTACTCTCACATTCTACGTGTGCTATATTATATTATTGGAACACTAAATTTTAGGCTTTCTATTAAATGTTCACAATTTCCAAAAGAAGTCACTTCGCGACGCGGTTATAAAAATAATATTTTAACTTTTGTTATCCACTCTAAACATATCTAATCTATGTTGTTTCTTCTGACAGACATACTACAACAACCAGCACTGGACAGAGGACAAAGAAGTGTACTGCTCGAGCCACGTGCCTAAGATCGGGCCGGGCCACCTTGACAACTCATCCGTCGGCATCCGCAGCGCCCTAAACGTGCCGCGCACCAACAACTACGTCAACGAACAGATACGCGGACACGCGCGCAATTCACACGACAATGATTGTAAGTTAACCAACAATTTATGCAAATAATTGTGACGTCCTCCATTACGTACGTCAACTACGTACCCTTCTACATCTGATAGGTCACAAAGCGCACAGTGCAACCTCCTAAGACCCCTGAACCTTCTTCTAAATAAGGCCGTTCGTACACAATACAACGTTAATCTACGAAGCCCAGCAGTTTTTGTCGCTAAGCGACTTACTCATAGAGCTTCGTATGCAGGAGTCGATTACATTTTGTTCTTTCTTCGCCGACGTCAATCGCTCGCAACCTGTTTGTAAAGATCCTTGTTTACGAAGGACTTGAGTGTAGGTAGTATTAAAACTTATGCAAATAGGTACAAATTACCGTAATAATAGGTACAGATAACCAATATAATAAATGTATTTATCCTGTCACCTGTCAGGAAGAAGAAGTCGTCACGACAAAAGGAATGACGTTCGTTAAACGTCACACATACTCAATCACACTCTAGTGCAGTTCCTTGATAATTTAATAGAGTTTCTTTTATTCAAGTTCGTCAAGCAATACGGGTAGAATTGATAATAGTGACCAACCCATAGCATTCACAGTGAAATAAATTCAAATAATCCTGCGCAATACGCTTTATCAATATACATACAAATTACAATTCACAAGTATGTTACGCTTGTAAAACCGGAACACATTCATGTGATATTGTTGACAGGAATGGACGACATTTTATATAGATCCTTACTACTTATTTAAATGCAGTAACATCTGTGTAACAAATATGTTGCCATCCCTCACATTATCTTTATGTTAAACAGAGATGCAATGATGTTCTTATCATAAACATCGTTCATGTAACAATAATTGAAATTCAAGTTTACTTGACTCAATAATAGCTGTCGCTCGCGACTCTGTTCACACAGAATTAAAAAAAAACAATTAGTAACCTATATGTTCTTCCAGATTATGTTTTATATGTATCCCAAATTTCATTGTGATCCATTCAGCCGTTCCGGAGCTACTACAAACATCCATCCATCTAAACATTCGCATTTATACTATTAGTAGATTCTTCCTATCGTCATCCTTAATTTCAATTACAGACCATTGTGTTAATAACGCGTCCATATTAATATACTTAGTTCGTTCCAAATCAGATCCTGGAGTTATGTGAGCCTTACAAGACGCCATTGCACCGAAACAATGGACACGACCTTGGTCCGTGCCGCACCGTGCTGACTATTGACCACTTACAATGAGGTCACAATTTACACGCATACCAGTCATCCATCGATTGCATCTAATGATCATATAATGATTTATTCGACCACATTTGATATGAAATATTCACTTTAAGTAAAGGTTTCCATACAAAAGTTCTTAAAGAAACGAGGTTCACGCTAAGCGCCATCTGCGCTCGGCCACCTCAAGCCCGGTGAAGCTGTAAATGCCTCTTCAGGGCAAATAGTGACTACTCAGTCACAAAAAATAATAATAACGGGGAGCGTCTATTTGATTTTATTCACCGGTCGGAATATTTTGACCTCATCCTGTCGATATAACGTCTGTCTGTACTTACAAGAGTCGGAGTAATTATTTCAAATTAAATTATTAATGTTTGTAAATCATAATTGATTATGCGAAATTTAAAAAAATTGCTTTTTCAATTAATCAAAATATTATAGTAAAAAGATATCCGGGTATTGTTATGTAATTGTAAAATGTAAGCGTCAATAGCCTAATGGTTAAAGGTACGGATTTCCGATCACGAGGTCGGGGGTTCGAATCCCGCCATTCGACTATTGTCGTAAACCATATCCTAACACAAGCATAGAGCTTAGTTGGAATGGTAACAGAAATATTAGTAAATTTACAAAAAAAAATCTGCTAATATTTTATAAAAAAATAAAAAGATGATAAGTAAATTGCAGCACTTAAGTGATTAAAAAAAATTGATTTTGACCATCAAATAAAAAAAAACCCGGCCAAACGCCATAACAGCCTTATAACTATAAAATATGGGGTAAAAAGTCTCGTTGTCGTTACAACTTATAAATGTTATGTTATGTTTGTACCTTTAAATGTACTGTGGAAGAGAACAATTTTATTTAAAAGTGCAGCGCGTACCAAAACTCGGGCACTTTTAAAGAAAAATCCTGCTTTAGGAATGTTGTACATTGAGGCTTGCCTTATTTCATTTTGAACTTTAAATTCTTCCATGTACTTAAACATGTGTATAACAAATTTTGATGCTTATTTTAGTATAAAATAAAGTCTTATTTGGATATAAAGAGATCGTTTCTTACGCTTTGTTTTAAAGTCCATTACATTTTTAAAGAAAATCTTAATAAGCATATTTATTGGCTAGGAGCTTATAGTCCTGATGTAAAAGTTACAATAGTATAGCTTAGTAGCTGGTTGCTAATCATAGTTGATTCAAAACAAGACTTCGGTTAAAACTATATATTGGTTATTATAACTAACATCGTCATACATTCAGCCAGGATCTACGGTTTTGGTAACAAGGTTGATAACAGCCATCATCAAATCATCGGTTACTGCGACTGAATATTACGACTTCTTTCGATGTCTTTGTAACCGGTTATGAATTTATTCGCAACACAAATATGACGTGTACTTAGCAAAGCAGTAAATCTGTTTGAAAACACGAAGAAAACGTCGTATTTCAAATCGGCGAGTCGCTGGAATCCGGTCGGACTTCCGAAGAAGGTGGCCCCGCGGGGCTACGGTACATTCGAGAGCCGAGCACAGTTCGGCTATTAGAGAGAGACAGGCTGTGTTAGAGAGAGAAGCGGTTGCAAAACGACCGCATTCCTCGGCGACAGCCCAGTGACCTAAAGCTCGGGTACAGGGAGTGGACAACCTGTTCTAATCACACCGACTCAATCAAATACATAATTAAATTAATCAATTAATAGTTCTTTATTTACCATAACTATAAACAAACATAATTGCTTTTTACTGACCATGACAAAGCATTTGTTTTTTTCGTTTTAGAGCATACTTAACAAAAGGGTCTTGACAGACGGAAGGACGGACGACAAAGTGATCCTATAAGGGTTCCGTTTTTTTCCTATGAGGTACGGAACCCTAAAAAGTAATAATAATAAATGTGTACAATTTAATAATAATTCGTCTAGACATACCTAAAACAATGTCACGTAATAATGTTGTAGTAGGGGAGGCGAAGCGGGGAATTTGGGATTTACACGAACGTGGCATCATAACATAAGGGGGAAGCTTGTGCCCTATCGAGTACTCCACATAAGTGGCCCCAAAATTGAGGCAGCATAATAATAAAAAAATTACTTTCGTTACAAATATATGAAATGTAACTGAACGAACATAATAGGCAGAGTTGGTAGAGTCATTGCATTGCAAATACACTTGTAAATTTTTAATGAAGCTTCTTGTGAAAGTCCCGACGATAAAAAAAAAACTATTAATATTGCGTTATGTGAAATTTCTGCACGCGAAATTACGCACGTCTGCTTAATGCGTAATCGCTTTTCATCAATCAATTGTAATTTAATTTTCACTATTAATACATCATTGAATAATTTCGTTTACTTTTAAAGTTATATATTGGATTTGAGTACGTTTTAAAATATGAATAATAACTGTTTTCTTGACATAAAAACTAATCCTTAGCCGCGACAGTGTTAGGCCATATGACACCCTTTAAGGCCAAAAGCGTTTCGTTTCGATAATAGGACAGTTCGGACTTGTTTGCCTCAATGGGGACACTGCCTAGTCCCCACATATTTTGCTTTATCTTATTATATAAAATCAGCATTATGCAATTAGATAATAAACAATCTAAATTCAATTCAAATGGTAAACTGTAACTCTTTGCGTTTACAACGTCATTTTAATAGACTACAAAAACCGTAGAGTAGCTTAGCGGGGATTTCGTAAAACGTTAGGACCTTATCGGGATTATGTGTTGCACGAACTGGCCACTATTAAGCAACTCTATACCGTTTTAGAAAAATATGCGCGGCACTGGATGTTACTTCGCAACAAGGAAATAGCTCATTTCAACTCATTTGCTAATCTAACTTGTTTACATTCACATAAGTCGCAAAATAACCTAAAAAAAAATAATTTATTTTATTTTGTAATGATTTAATAGATAAATTTAATCTGACATTGATTTCATACATCATTTTAGTTTTAAATTAAGTTTTATCTTAGCTTATTATTTTAACTAATTTACAAGAAATTAAATGAAATTATTAATATATAATTTTCTTTCCAGATAATCTTTCAAGAGGAGATGTTTATGGTATGTGTATTTTACTTTTAAAACAATTGATTTTTATTTACTCCTGTAGTGTCACATACCTTACTCTCTCCAGTTCTATAAGGTCTATAACCTTCTCTAATAATTGGGCTACTAAATTCAAAAATAATTAATGAAATCCGTTTAGTTTTTTCAGAGATTAAAGCGTACAAACTTAAATATTAAATTGTAGTACCACTATATATAAATTGAATTTTATATTTTTAAATCTAGATTAAAACAAATTTCATAATATACAAATAATATTCATAAATTCGTCACCTTTTAACCTTGTAAGAAATGAGCCCAATTTTATAATATCTTCAATTAATTTAAATTTTAAATTGGACATTAAATAATTTGACGTAACATATTCAATGAATAAACATATTTGAAGCAGACCCGTTGATTATAAACGTTACATAACTTTATATCAAAAGCGGCATATTAATTATATTTTAAATAACTTAAGCAATTAGTCCTAATAATCAACCTTTATCAATAGATGTCACTACAAGACACAATTAGAGATTTAAATGAAAAACTGCCGCATTCGTAATCATTAAGAGGTTCCCTTTAGGATTTACTATGATAAAACTACACTAAGTGTGTCCTTTTTCTTATATTAAAAGGATGGGAAGTGTAAGTGGACTTTCCTGATGAGATGATGCATGGGAAAGGAAAATATTTTCTTTCCGTGCATACTCTCCTCCGTCGATTAAAGGTAGGCAACGCATGTGCAATTGCATATGTCTATGGGCAACGGTCGCTTCGCTATTTCAGCGATTTCAGGTGGCCGCTCGCTCGTTTGCCACCTTACGATAAAAAAAACTAAGTGTTGTTGAAGTTAATATTCTTATATAGACGACAAAGACTTGTTTCTTTTAAATTTAATTAGTAACAAAGTTATGGTCTCATTGCGCAGTCTATGATTAAACTTTACACATTGTCTTACTTATCCGGCTGCAAATCACGAGTAAGCGGGTTCTAACGGCGGATCCACACGGCCGGTTTCACATACGAATAGTCACTAATCATTCGTTATTGTTGGTCCGTTATTGTGCCTGGACTACTTATAGCTAGCGATGCAGCTGCTTATTAATTGATTGTTAGGAATTAATATTAACTCTGAGTAACAGAACTGATGAATTTTTAATCTATCAGTTAAATAACAGATAATATTGAACCTTCTGATGACTGACACCAAATTTTACTTGTCTAATCTTTTGGATAAACATCTCAGTATAGTTTTGAAGTTGCTTACTTACATTTTATATCTAATTGTACGAGTATTCATAATTTAAACAAACGAATACTTTAAATTTTGAATTGAATTATTGAATACAGAGTTAAGTCTTTTAACATATAATCTTACTAAATAACTAACCACTACGAAATAAATGAATTAATTAATACTATATTAAATAAACTATATACTAAAACTAAACCAAACTAAAAATAAAACTAAATAATATAAAAACATCGACCCCAAATCGCTGCGCTCGCATGGTAGGATTCCCAAAAGGAGAGTTACATACAGAGTTATGATTTTCGACCTTAACCCCTCCTCGGCACTATGATGATAAATGAACAACTCAAGTCTGTTAACCCCCTTGATTCGTAATTATTCAGGAATTAGCAACTAAATCAAAACATACGTTTGCATACAGTATCACCAACCCGAGCCACAAACGGCGGCAGCGTGCATGCGTCTCCCGCGCGCGACGTGTCACGCGAACCCGACTACCAGTACGGCCGCTTCGACGCCAGCGCTCTGCACATCGCGCACGCACTCAAGCAAACAGAGCTGCAGAAAGCCTACCACAGGCCTAAAGAGAAACCCATCGACTGCTATTTGGTAAGTCACAAAGAATTATATCAAAAAAGAAACACAAGAGATCGTCGCGCAAATGGTTAACAAAGTCTGCTTTAGTTAGGTATTACTTTTTTTTTGCTCATATTTAGGTTATAAACTCATAATTTCTATATCTATTTAAAGGTACATGTATATAATGAGGTTTCTTTTTAATTGAATAAAATTAATAATTGTTTATTGATTATTCGCGAATTCTAAAAACATGTGTACTGCGGAATATCACAGAATGTTCTGTCTCCGATATATTTTCACATTTATTTCATAACAAACACAAATGTATCACCGAATAACAATAACTTCATAAATGGTTTCTATCTAAAGAATGAACAACAAGATTAAGGTCAAGAATCACATACTGTGAAAATTATTATAGGATAAATATCTCTCTCTCTCCCTAGCTTGCATCCCACAAGCTAGTGGGGTCAGCTTTCCCAATCCGTCTCTTCCACTTCGCTCTGTCCATGACATCTTCTTCTGAGACTTGGCACTCACTCATGTCTTTTATAACTACATCTTTCCATCTCGTTTTGGGTCTGCCTCTGGATCCGCGACCAGGCAGGGAAAGTTGTAGTGCTAAATTACCGACGTAGTCTGGCGGCCTCCTCCTTACATGACCATACGCACATCCATCTCAGCATCTTCATTTCTTCATTTTAGGATAAATATATTGGCAAAAAAATATTGTGTGAACAAATGACAAATTGCTTAGCTATTACGATTTGTGTAACGACAGACAATATTGGGCAAAACGCAAATTGCAATGTCCTTCGACCACTGCTGGGTGCTGGGAAACCGCGATATAAAGCGACAAAACGGCGTCGTTACCCGACTTATGAAAACGCAACACTTTACTATTGCGATAGTACAGTCACGCACAAATTACAAAGTTGAATAAACTTTTCAATGCTTACAAAAACAAAGCAAAATTGCCTTCGAATACTTTTACATAAATAAAGATAAATAACAACCTGTCGAATAAAAATACAATTTTCTATCACTGTGCGTTTCCACTGCAGAAACACGTAGTCAAAAACATATTGTTATTTAAAAGAAAGAGACGACAATTTGTACATATATTTGGACAGTATAAATTGAAGGCACGATAAAACTGTAAATCTGTATATAGATTTTGTTACCAATACTTCCAATTATTGCAATTACCTATTATTGCACACTTTATACAATTATTGTACTTTTGGATGAAGAAGAATATAATTATTATAAAATAATTAATTTGTTCGTGACTGTACTCTGAGGTAATGCGTATCGAAATGTAAAAGCCGGACCAGTCTATAATATAGCGGCGCATGTCAACATTAATGTGTGAATAAGCGTTAATAGCTTTGTCCAAAGTGACAGGGATTATTTTGCGCGCTAAGAAAATCGACGGATTCCTCTCTGTATATTTTATTTGTAGAAACTGAGACTAACAATTATCCAGAAACTTCCATAACTTGAAAATTAAATCGTATGTAATGCAAAGTGCAAAAGCAAAAAATAATGAAAAATTAACAGTAATGCCAAAGATTTTTTTTTCAACTTTTTTTATACATTTAGTGCAAAGCAAAGGTCTTAACATAAATGTTTTATGAGTTGGTTGCAACAATATTTCTTATCTTTTAGGTACCTTGCCTGTCTTAAACCTACATATCATTTATGTATGTGTTTACACGTTACACGCTGTCGTACGTAACTGTACTTACAACGCAAATGCTCTATATTATCGTATGACAAGAGTTTGTACGCACCTGTACTTATTAAAATTACAGTCGTGTACATATAATACTTAAGAATAAAGATATTAAGTTCTTGATTATTCTTCGATGCAAAGATATGTTTGGTATCAAAACAATGATTTGGTTTTTAAAAAATTAGAATGACGCATCCAATTAAAACAAACTAAATTTTCATTTAAAATAACGTTATAAACTTACCAAAGGTACCGTCGAATCTGGATAAGTAAGAGACAAAGATATCGTAATATTTTTCTCACTCGTGGAGGCTGTACGTCGGGACTGGGTAATAACTCTCGCTTGAAGAGGTTTTTGCTTAACCAAGTTTGACAGTAAATATTATTATATAATCTATTTTTATACTTCTATTATAATTGCACTTTTAAGGATCGTTTGAATAATATTAGAATTGCTTTTTCTACTCTCATAAGACATACAAATTGTTATTAAAAAAAAAACTTTTGTACACTATTCCATGTGACTGTACACTCATACAAATGTCATACCGCTGTACCTTACAATGTTATGTTTGGTACCGTTTCTTTGTTAATTTATCGTCGTTGTTTAATTATAGATAGCACATAGAGCTGTAATAATATTGTACGTGTGAACTACGCCTTGTTCGTGCACCTAAACTTAGCCTAGGTCGTACACGCTTATTATATGTTTACAATAATTTAACCTTAATTATACTATATTGTCTTACACTTCTTTACTTTTTAATAATAATAATTTAACTGTTTAATGGATCTATATTCAAAAAGGGTCTTGACAGGCTGACGGACAACAAAGTGATACTATAAGGGTTCAATTTTCTTTTTGAGGTACGAAACCTTAAAAAACGACTTGAACCCAAAAATGCAGAAAAAAGTAGCAAAATTATTGTTATTTTTTAATCTGTTTTCAAAGAAGACATACAACAATCAATATGTGAAAGAAATTGATTAAATTTAATATATAAATACAATGCAGTTAATAAAAACTTAACATTAAATATCTAAACACTAATTCCAGTATCATATCACATTAAATAAATATTGCGATTCTAGAACTTTTTTTATTAACATCATTGATTTTTCCCAGCAGTTAACATAATTCATAATTTAATAAAAAAAAAGTCAATTGCAAGGGACGCGTTGCACAGAGTAACATTGCTGCAGAGACAGCACATTCCATCAGAGATCGCGTGACTCTGTTGAGTGGAATGTGTACACTGTACACGTTGATGTTAATAAATTACGCGGCATCGGTTGTTTTGTTGTTAAGAGATCGCAATTAGATTATTTTCAACATAGGAACCAGAAAAGGAATATTTATGTACTCGTAAATATTTATTCAAATTTTGTCTATAATTTCAACCGATAATATGAAGTTTTTTTATGAACAATTTTGACTAAATGATTGTTTTTGTTTATCTAAAATCTAAAAATAATCTATAAAAAAGGTCTTCTTTGACGCTCCCTCTAACGTTGCGCGTTTTAGCTTGTATAGACTAATTTTTTTTTTAATTTACCATCGCTTGCAATTTAAGTCGTATCAAATTAATCTCACAATCGGAAGCTGTCATTTAAAATGGCGAGAAATCGACGTAGCCGGTCGATTACAGGACGATTCATAGTCGACGCATCTCGACTCTCAACCACACTCCCTCGGTATTTATGATTGTTTCACACGAGGGTAGCACAGCGAGGGATAGTAGTACGCTTACTATTAAATCTGTGTTTTGTTTTGGCGTTCTACGTTTAAAAAATTGTAGTACCCACCGCAATGTCTGCTCTATGTCATGTTCTGCCTTCGTGTAAAGTTCTATGATGCGACTCAGACGGTCCGATGATAATGATTTATTCATATGTCTTTTTGTATTTATTCGCATGTGATCTAATAAATAAAGTGTAATATCGCTAACTCGACTTGAACTGTGAGAACTTTGATAGATTATTTTTTAGTATGTGACTTCCTGAACGTGTGAAAAAGTATATTTGATTTGAAGACGATTGACTTTAATCTTTTTACTATAAGAAAAAAACTTATGTCTGAACTTTTATACTTAATTTACAAAAATAAGACGGATTGTCTCATTTGTCCTTGAAGTATATAAGAAAGTAAAAAAGAAACTAATAAATATTATACTGTGTATAAATCGAACAATTCATGTGCATTGAATTATATATATATATATATATATATATATATATATATATAAATACGATTACAGTACGACAAGAATGTATGAATGAGAGAAATACATCCCTTTCTAATAACATCCAACTTTCGTCGTCCGGATCCGCGTTTCACCAGCGCGACGCAGGATGACGAAGGAGGTCGATTGGGACGTGCAACCTCTTTGCCTCAACCGCTCCTACATTATTCACATCGCGTCACACCTGCCAGTGTTTTACTCGGAACGTGCCTCTATTTATAGTAGTTTATTCTTATATCAGATTGAATTACGCGTGTAATACTTAACCTTATTACAGCATGATTTTTTCAATACGTATAAGAATAAATTAATTGAGGGAGTCGGGACAATATCACGGAAGTAAAATTACGAAATATAGAATTATAATGCAATTTCATTTGTCGATAACTCGGTCATTATACAGCATGGGGGGACATCGCAAACGGGATAATAAATAATGAAAATGATCTGTCGATGTAAAGCAAGCATCTCGCAGGGACTCAGTTGTGAAGAATAATAGCGGCAAGGAAAAATAAGGACTTTTGCCCAACGCATGCGAGCACTAACAACGAGTGAACTGCGACCTTGAAGTATTTAGTCAGAAGAGGTAAAGTGATGTGGGACGTACTTTCATCAACCATGTTAATGACGCAAAATATAGCAGTTGAAGAATACTGTTTAACTATTTTAATAATTAATTTGTAATATTAAACATAAATATGGACATCTCAGAGCTAGTCTTCTACCACACTAAATTAGGCGCACATTTCCTTCAGCTTAAAGATTACATAAGTCGATGTATCCATAACCGTTTATGGGCGAACCAGCAATGTGGCAACCATTACTGGCTTGTGTCGCACGTTACCATAAAAGTCCATTACCACAATTCAATGGAAACGTTCATTTCGATATGCCCACGAACATGAGTAGTGATGATATTCAATTCACCATATTAGATGATTTTATTAACATTATTTAGAAATTCATATTCGTATACAAAATGGAATTTTAAGAAACTTGACCCATAATTTTTTTTTTTTTTTATATTATTACGTCCAGTATTGGATGCC